TTGTTCTCTTGGCTGCCTACTCCTATACCCTCCGGAAGGTAGAGCTGGTATGCAAAGGAAGTAAATAATATATAAGTGTCTTTATGTATTCCAGCAGGGAGAAATGATTCTACTGGAGAATCATGTATTCTTAAAATATGCAAAAATCAAGAACGACTTTGGTTGAAAGGAATTCGTCTTTCAAAGCCTTCTACTGCCAATAAAATATTATTAGCTAAAAATCTTTCAAGCTAGACAGGAGATACTCCCCTTTACAATTTTCTCATTCTCATCAAGTTTTATGAACTAGATTTCCAAAAAGGCATCATGATGAGAGTTGATACAGATGTAAGGGTAATGGTTTTCTTGATGGATAGTGGGAGGAGGAGGTTTCTATTTTCTGAACTTCTGTTTTCCCAAATACAATAAGAGCAATTGTACCATACTGAAAAGTATATAATTTCAGCCAGATTATTCCAAAATCTCACTTGGCTTAGTTTGTTTGGGTTTGGCTTAGTGGAATGAATTGGCTTGTCCATTTTGCCTCGTAAATAATGATGCATGATTTACATACACTACACCACCATGCCTAGTTTAAACAAGACTTGGTTAAGCCAAACCATGCTGTAATACTTTTGTTTCTACCACTGAATATTCAATGAGAAGAAGGAGGAGAGTGAATGATTTTTCCCTGTTTTTTCCCTGTTCAACTGAATACTGGAACAACAATTAGTTTTCTTGACCAAGAGGTGGTTGTTGGGGAAAATCTCTGCCAGTCAGCAGCGATCTGGGGGCCTGGGGGATTTGAACTGAGAGACGAGGCAAAGATCATCACTTGATGTTCAAGCAAAGGTTGTAGTCCAAACAGGAAGGCTTTATGATAAAGATGGCTTTAAATATCTTAACATATCTTCCAGAAAGGTCCATCCTGCAGAAAAAAATGGTCACACTCCATCTCCATTCCATAGTATTTTGTCCAGTCACCTGAATGACCTTTGAAGTGTGCATGTTCCTCAATTGCCCTCAGTCCAAGAGAAAGCCAAGACTGAAAAAAGAAGGGCTGTCCAGAAGGTTTAATAGTTAAATTGAGTTGGTTAATTTTTACTGATGCTTTTTTGCAACTGCAGTTCCTTACAGTCATGTGCAGAACATGAGCTACCATTGATTTGTGACCCAAGGAGGAGAATGGATAAACTTGGCCGCCAATCTGAGATAGACTTAGAGAAGAAATCACACCTTGGTTAGGTAGAACTTGGTCTCTGTTAGGTCTGCGAAAATATTAGGTCCTTGCAAGATGTTGATTCCACTGGGATTTGACAAATGAGGTAAGAATCCTTTGTGATCTCTGTATTGCAAAAGTGCCAGCTCTGTTTCAAGGTGTAGAAGAGAGGACTGCAGATTTGTCTCTGCATTTCTTGTAATGTCATAGTTGGCTGGGTGAAGCAGCTGTTGTGTGCTCTGCAATACGGGCAGCATCTGGCTGATGTTGCTTGTGCTTGGAAGCTGAGTAGAGTCCAACCTGGTTATGGGAAGCCACAAGGGAATATCAGGGCTGTTGGTTTGACTGAGAAGTTGAAAAACATTGCAGGAAAGGACGACGGCCAATCACCTCCACATTGTTCCTGAGAAAAATGCAGGGAGGTCTCCATGTAGGAGTCAAGGGTGATTTTGCTGTTTCACCTGTTGTGTATCACCTTCTCTTCCTGGTCCACTGTTACTTTGCACAAATAAGTCAGCTCAGTGGATGGCTGGAAGGCGAAAACTGCCATGGCATTCAGGTACATGGGAGGAAAGAAGACATAACTTTACCAAAGGAAATGTGGAATTTCCCTCCCTCCATTTCCTCTACTTAAGCAAACTAGGCTGAAACCGTGCTCCTTTAAGTCAACACCAGCTTTCAAATCTATTTCCTTTAGTTCCTTCTGCTCCTTAGTAGAAAGGAGACTGCAATTATGGAACCACAAGTAGTCCTCCATTGCAGAACATTTGGTTTCTTGAGTTCTGCTTCACCTGTAGGAGAGATGTATGTTTTCCTACACACGGACAAAATTCTTCCGTAGAAGATAGGCAGCATTCTGTGGTTTGTTGGAAGGCTGGGGCCAAGCTTGTACTGTCAGGCCAGTGGAAGCGAAGAGGCAGAAACATGGAAGGGTCTAAAGCAAGTTCACTTAACTTTGCATTCCTTGTGCAGAAATAACCATACGTGACCGTAGGTCATGCTTCAAAAAGAGAACTGCTGTTTGTGGTTTCTGTTCTGTCTCTGCTGTGAAGGCCCTAAAGCTAACACATTCTCATCCATAGAGGCTCTGAAAAATTCTCCTCTGAACTTGCAAATAGGAAGATCGGGTGTCCAATCTTTTTACCACTCTTCAGTCCTAGCTGATGGAAGGAGTTTTACATGTGAAAAGAGAAAATATATATATATACATTAAAAGGTTGCAGCAGCTCTTGTTGAAAGTTAGCACTTTTCTCCACTATTTTTATCCAGAAGGTTAATCAGGACAGGAACTCTGAGCAGCATAATTGATTAGGCAATGAACTGGAAGAAAAGGAGGCAGATCAAGAATAAGCATTTTTTAAAAAAATATTTTTTATGCATTGCTGAGCATATTCAAATGAAAACAAACCCTTCAGAGCATATACTTTAAAAATCTTCCTGCTTCCCACCCTAGGGTACCTTGTAAAGCAATCTTTACTTTTTGAAGAGTAGTGAGGCCAACGTGTGGAGAAAGGGTGCCCAAGATTGCATCTACTTTATTTGTAGAAGGCTTAAAAAAAAAAAAAAGCCTGCTGGAGACCATCCTCCTTTCTGTGATGGTAACCAGATGCTGGAGAGGAGTATGAGAGTTTCACTGTCTTCACTGCTGCTCCCTAGAAGCTGGGATCCAGAAGTATACAATGAGGAAGCTAGAAGTTCCACTAAGTGCTACCATAACTAGGAGCTGTTGACAGATGATCATGTTTCAAGATTTCTCCAGCTCCCTAAATCATTATTGAGATGCATAGAGATTCCTCCATAGATGTACCACTGAAGAGTCCCTTCGTTGTAGGGATAAATGTGAATTAACTCTCAAAACACAGGGTAAAACAGAAGCAAGCATCTCAGAGGTGAAAACAGAGAGTTCCAAATTGGAGCTGTTCTTGCCCATCTCAAGAGATAGCTATAAATATTATTGGCCAACCAATGCAAAATAAGCCAAAGAGTGGATTCAAGAGCAATAGAATCCCCACTAATAGTGTGACAAGGATAGCAGGGAGCTTCAAATCACAAGTCATTGGCCTCATATGTCGTCTTAGAGCCATAAGGTATTGGCAGCTGCAAAGGAAACTGTGACATCTCGTGGACAGAGGATGCAATTTCTCAACAGAACTTCTATCCAGCTCAGTTTTCTTTCATGGGCCAGTGGAACGGCACTGCAATTAATTCTCCAGATTCAGGACTTCAGAGCATAGATAGCGTAAGCCACACTGCATTCCCAGTGGGCTTTGGGGAGACCTGGAAAAAGTCAGATGTCGAAAAATTGGAGTTAGGCAGAGCGCAACTGACTGTTGGTTTTATGCACTTCAGGAATGTTTGTAGTTCAGTAGCAGACATTCACAATCAGTGCGAAATGATTGTTTAGAACAGTGTTTCTCAACCTTGTCAACTTTAAGATGTGTGCACTTCAACTCCCAGAATTCTCCAGCCAGCATGTTTAGAATATTAATTAGGTAGGAAATCACATCTCTGTTTGTAGGCGCTACTTATATACGGCTTTTCTTTGCAGTGGAAAGCCAATGATTGCTCGAGGATGGGTTGACCTAGATCGGGAGCAATGAAATTGTGGCCTTTCAGATG